ACTGCCAAAATCCAAACACTATGCCATGGAGAAAGTGCAACCATGGTATTTCTTAGAGGCAAACATGGTGAAACATCCTCTCACATGTTTGGAGCATGTTGTCAGAAAGAGCCAGTCTTTGGAAAGGGACAATTTAGTTGGAAAGGTGGAGGGTCAGTAAAAAGAGGAAGGCCCTCCACAAAACGGATTAACACAGTGACTGTAACAATAGCTCAACTACAACAGAGTTGATGAGGATGGCACAGGATAGGGCAAGGTTCACATCCTTTGTTCATAGGGTCACTATGAGTAGTAGACAACTAGATGGCACCTAATGACAACTATTGGGTAGTTTCTTGATGGGGTCATCAGGTCAGGTGCTACATACGCCTGAGATGTCTGTACACAATAAGTATTGGATATTGTTGTTCGGCCTAAAACCCATCCAAATTCTTTTGTATAGGTGTCTCAGAAAAACTACTTACTAATTCTTGCTTCCTTGAATTCCACTGCTGATCTAGTTTCTGTTCAGGTTTCAATGACCTGAATCTTCGTTTTTCCTTCAAGGACGTGAGCCATCACATTTTCCTGCAGTAAATGAAGTTTTGTCCACATGAGCTGTGGTTGGCTTCTGTTGTTTTCAGCCAAATAATCCTGATGGATATAGTGAAGAAAAGACAATGATAAAACACCTAGTCCTTCCCAGAAGCTATCCTAGCTGCCAGGCCTGTAAGGTGAATGCTAACAATGATAGAAATGTATTTCTCAGAACAGTTAACTTTACTAGATGAAAAGGCCTCATTTGCCCCCAAACACAGCTCAGGAAGTGGGATAAGAATGGAATGGATGTATGGAAAGGGGAACGCAGGGAGGATGCAGGAGGAGTGCAGTGAAGAAACCACTGCTAAATTACAAAACAACAATGTGCATAAATCATTAAGTGGAAAACTAATTTGTTCTAATTTAATCATCATCATCATCGAAAGCATTAATTCTACTATTAATTTGATTATTTTGAAAAGGAACAACCCTAAGAAAATGGAGACTCATCTTGAAGATGAGGAGTAATTAACTTCTATGGACAGTTACATTCTTCTAATCACCATATTATCTTATTCAGAAAGGCCTTATGACATAGGTAATTTGAGCCCTGTTTCACAAATGAGGAAATTAAAATAAAGAATTATTAAATGGTTTATCCATTTTCACGTACCCAGATTAATGTTTCTCATAGTTTATTCTGGATTTACAGGATGATAACAGGAACTGTTTAAAAATAGAAAGAAAACTAGTAAAAAAATGTATGAAGACCCAAGGGGGGAGAGTTGGAACCGAGGGATGAGGATGGGCAGAGAGAGTATTCATAGGGTTGCACAATTTGATGGGTAGAGGGAGGTGTGGGTAAAGGAAATGGTATGAAATCTGGTGTGAAAACCAATATATATATATATATATATGCACTTTGTAAGAAAACCAGTATAAAAAAAATGTATTTAAGAAAAAAAAAGAAGAAGATATATGGGGGAAAGGACGATTCTGCGGTCAAGAACTTTGGGAAACAGGATTGAAATAAGATTCTCTTCTGTAACACTTCTGGGCAGATGAATCTTTAATTTGTTAGTATGTAAATAGGAGGAATCCCCAAGACAGGATTATGATGGACCGTTTCTGAAATATATTTGATTATGGACTTCTTTGTGCAGGTTTGTGTGAGACTGGCTTTCTCTGAGACATAGTCTCCCACCTCCAATAGGAGACAGCAGCACCAGGGAGGCTACTCCTTGCTCTTCTAGTTCCTGCTTCCCTGATTTGAGCTCCACACAGCAGTTCTTCACCAAACATCTCTGAACCTGAGGGTTTTGTTTCTCCAATTTCCAAGAAAAAATTCCAAATTCATTGCCAGTCACATAAAAATTGAATCAAAGCTGACTCTTCAGGAGGTTTTTGAAGGTTATAAATCATGTGGCAGGAGATTGCCCATTTTTTCTCCTCGGAGCTGCCAGTGAATTTGAAACAACAGAGAGGCTGGACCTTTGGACTAGCAGCATCACTCTCTATGGACTAGACCTCCAGAGCTCCCTCTTTAAGATGCTGTTGTTGTCAGGTGCTGTTGAGTTGAGCACAACTTATAGTATCCCTATGAACAACAGACCTGAACCTTGTTCTATTCTGTCACCCGCATTATCTGTCACACCTGAACCCATTGCTGCAGTCACTGCAATCCATCTCTTCAAGGTCTTCCTCTCTTTCCAACCCTCTACCTTTCCAAGTGTAATGTCCTTTCCAAGAAGAAGCTGTAGAAGGTCAAGGATTGCAGCCTTAAATATGGATTGAAGTTCAGCATCAAGAAAACAAAGATTCTCACAACTGGGCTGAATGGCAGAATCATGATAGACACTGAAGAAATTGAGATTGAGATTGTTAACAGTTTTAGTTTGCTTGGCTCCACAATCAACACTCTTAGTACCAGAAGCCAGGATAGTAAAAGATAAATTGTATTTAGAAAGTCTGCTGTGAGAGACATCTCCAAAGTACTGAAGAGCCATGATGTCAGTCTGGAGACTAAGGTGCACCTGATTCAAACCATGATCTTTTGCAATTACTTGCTATGAGTCAGAAAACTGGACAATGACTAGGATGATAGAAGGAGAATTGATGCCTTTGAGCTGTGATGCTGGAGAAGAGTATGAATATACCATGGAATGCTAGGACAACAACCTAGAGAAGGTGAAACCAGGCAGCTCCTTGGAGGCCAGGATTCTGAAACTTTTTCTTTTTTTTTTTTTCTATAATTATATTTTATTAATTTTCATAAACATTTACAGAGATTTTGGGCTTCCACTCATTCATTGTTGCACTATTCTCTCTACCCTCCTCCCAGTTTGTTCTTGTCCAAATGCCACAGTGCTTGTCAAAGCCAGTTCTGATTAATCTTCTTTGTCAGTGTGTCCTTTGCCATTCCCTATCACTCCTCCCTGAGAGAGACTTCACCCTGAGTCATAAGGAAAAGGGGACGGCGTATTCTCTTAGCTACTTCCTGCTGAAAAGGGACGCTGTGGGTTTCAGGGTGAAGATCTTCTCTCACTACTCTAAAGGGCCCCTTTGGCAGTAGGAAACACATAGACTATTATGGAGATTGATTTTGGAATTCAGATGCACTCTTATTGATTGTGCTTGGCTGTACATGTACATATCCTTCAAGATGTATCATGGGGGTGTTCTAACAAGTTATAAGTACATGAGTCAAAAAATTATGGAAAAGTAAAAGAAAAGATTCTTTCATTGTTTTACAAACACTCCCCCAGGTCCCCTCCACCATGCAGCCCTCGCTCTAGTCTCCTGTGACTGAAACTTTTTCTAACATACTTTGGGCATATTACAAGGAGGGACCAGTCCTTGGAGAGTGACATCATGCTTGGGAGGGTGGAGGGACAGCACGAGAGAGGAAGACCCTTCATGAGAAGGATTGATTCAGTGACTGGGGTAATGTGGGTAGGTGTGTCAGAGACAATATGATTGGCACAGGATAGAGCAGGGTATAGGGCTGTTGTACATAGGATTGCTAAGAGTTGCATGTGACTCGACGGTATATAACAACAACAATAACAACAGCAACACACCCAAAGCATGTGACAGAAAAGTATCGCCCTTTTTGGCTCCAAGGAATAGTGTGTGTGGCTGCACTTTCTTCAAGTAACTTTTTGCTCTTCCCCCCCACCCCCAAGCAGACGGTTGTTTATTGTCGTTTGGTGCCATTAAGTCAACCACCCTCAGCGACCTTATGAACAACTTTTTGCTCTTTTGACAGTCTATGCGATGTTCAGTACTCTTCCGCAACACTCCAACTCAAAGGCATCAATCCTGTCATATTTATGCATTGTCCAGTCCGCAGATACATAGTAACTGATTGAAAAGACCATAGCTTGAATCAGTCTTCAGGCTGGCAACATGGCTCATCAGATTTTGGAGAGGTCCTCAATAGCTAACTTGCCCAGTGCAATATATTTCCTGATCTTCTGACTGCTGGTATGAAGAGTACTGATTGTTGATACAAGCAAGAGGAACTCTTTGGCAACTTCAGTCTTTTCTTCATCTATCATAATATTTCTTGTGGCCCAATGGTAAGGATTTTGTTTTCTTGATGTTGAGATGTAATCAATATTAAAGGCTGTAGTCCTTGATCTTCTGTAGCAAATGTTTCAAGTCCTCCTCATTTTCAGCAAGCAAGGTTGTGTCATCATCTGCATAATGCAGGTTATTGATGAGCCTTCCTCAGATCCTGATGCCACATTCCTCTTCATAGAGTCCTCATAGCAATCTCTCACATACCAGTTGTAAGACAGGGATGATAATATACTCTTCATCATGAATTTCTTGTAAGGATGTAATGTCATACGATGTTCTGAAGGAAACCTAGTACAGTACCTCATATAGATAAGACATTCATTTCATGGTATTTATCATTATTATCACTGAATGTACTGACATTATTATAAGGCATTCTTTGTTGTTGTTGAGTACCACCTGAAGTACTAAGGACCTAAGAAATAATTCCTACCTAGGACAATTTCCGGGTAGATTTGGAGGCCTAGTGGTAAGCTGTGCTGTAATCCCAAAGGCACACGGTTCAAATCCATCAGCTGCTCCACAGGAGAAAGATAGGCAATCTCCTCTCATGTGATTAACTGCCTCAAGAAAGCCACTGGAGTGTCAGCTGTGGGTCAGTTCCACCTCAACAGTACACAACAACAAGGACAAATTGCACTAATCAGATCTCATTGATCATCTTCTTTCACATTTTTGAGACAATAACTTTCTTAATAGTAATACTATTTTTAACTGCCTCTGAAAACCTGCTAGAGGATCAGCTATGGGTCAGTTCTGACTCAACCATACACAACAGCAAACATGTAAATCTATATCTTGAATTAATCTTTAACTATCCTTTAATAAACCTCCAGCATTAGCAAAGAATGGGCTTTTATCTCTGCAGTTCCTTGTTCTGATCTCCCACCCCAGTTAGGGGAAGAGGATGTGATCATGTGATCATTAACACAGGGGAAATTGTGAAAGGGACCTTGCTCTAGAAAAGGCAACCACAGCTGCTTTACCTCCCAGAGGCCAGCTCTGTGAGGGCGGGTCTGAGAGCATTCTTTCTGTCTTTCTGTCCATCGACATGGAGCCAAAGCGTGTCCGAGAGGGCTACCTTGTGAAAAGGGTAAGTAACCTTGCCCCTGTCAATGTTATAATTAAAGATCAGTGTTGGGGATGGTCAGTGTCCCACTGTGTGCCTTTGGAATGACAGTGTTGATTCTTGCCACTAGGTCAAGCTCCCGATACATCATAAAATAAGTATAGTTTATTACCTGAATAATTTAAAAATTGATGCATTAAAAACCGATCTTTTTAAAGTTGTACTGGAATTTCTTCCCTCACAACGCCTAAGTTAGTTTAGGTGGTGGACTTATCAACTGTCCTGAAGCCAGTTCTAACTCACAGTGACCCACATTGGGCTTCTGAGGCTCTAACTATTTATGAGGGAGGGGATTCTGAAGTGTTATGAACAATGCCACCAGGATTCTCTGTTAAGGTGGTGTTTGTATTGTCAGATGCTGTTGAGTCAAGTACGACTCACAACAACCTTATAAAAAGCAGATCTGACCTGATCCTGACAAAGATTACCCATGCCATCCTCGTGCTCTCTGACATATTTGAGTTCGTTGCTGCAGTAGATGCCCCTTTTTAAAGATTAGGAGAGAGACTCACATTTGCTCAAGACTGCTTAGCATCACAGGGGAGGCACCCAGTTGGTCTTTAGCACTGTTAGCACTGTTGGTCTTTATTTGGTTGTGCTTGAGTCATTGTGAAACTTCATGTGATGGGGAATTCACACTCAGGACAACACCTTTATAGCACATACACTCACACTGATGTCAGTGCCTTGGTGTCAGAGAACTGCTGGACACAGTCCTCCAGATACCTGGCTTTAGAAGTGAAGCAGCTCCTGATGTGTCACATTGTAGTGTGAAATATCAAGATTAGATAGCATGCATTGCCACATGATTCATTTTGACCTGAAGTTGGAAGAAATCATAGATTTTCTTGGCCAATGCCCTCATGTATAATAGGACACTGAGGCCCCAAGGTTTAGTGATTGCTTAAGATTACATGACTGTGATAGAGTTGGGTTTAGAAATCCACTCTTTGACCCTATTTTTGAGCTCCACCTGGTGCCCTAGGATCTTTCTTAATGCAGATTTAATGTGTTGCTGTTGCTGGTTGTCCTGGAGAGGGTTAAACCGGGTGGCTCCTTGGAGGCAAGGATTCTGAGGCTCCGTCTAACTTACTTCGGACATGTAGTGAGGAGAGACCGGTCCTTGGAGAGGGACATCATACTTGGGAGGGTAGAGGGACGGCGCAGGAGAGGAAGGCCCTCTATGAGGTGGATTGATTCAGTGACTGGGATAATTGGGATGGGAGTATCAGAGACAGTGCGATTGGCGCAGGACAGAGCGGAGTTTAGGGCTGTTGTACATAGGGTCGCTATGAGTCGCAGGCGACTCGACGGCACATAACAACAACAACAACAACAACTGTTGCTGGTTGCCGTAGATATTGACTATTACTCATAGGGACCCTAAGAACAGCAGATTTGAACGGTGCCCTATCTTAGACCATTCTTCATTCAATCTCTAGTCTGCTTGAGCCTAGTGCTACAGTCAGTGTCTATCCATTTTGTTGAAGGTTTGTCTTCTCTTTCTCTGATCATCCACCCTTCCCAGCATGTTGTCCTTTGCAAGGCTGGGCCTTTCTTGATAATACACCCCAAGTATGTGAGATGAAGTTTCATGTTAATGTAAATGTACATTAATGTGACATTTCAGTTTAAGGTAAGTTACCAAAACTCCTGTTGCTGTTTATTATGACTAGCCTCATTGGTTTCCAAAGCTGTGATAATTTCTTGGTTTTTTATATCCAAAATTGTGTTTAGAGATAGTTTCTCATTCATCTTGATTCAGCTCTTCTTAATGCTGCTTCCATCTGAAGGAACATCTTTCTGGAATCCTTGTTCTTCCTCCTGTAGACTGACAAAGAACAGTTGGGCAACCAACACACAAAACTACTGTTTGTGCCTGGCTTAAGACTGCGGTGATTTTACAGCATCCTGGTCATTTCATATCCATGAAATGAGAATTTGGGTTCTATACCACGGCACTTCCTCTCTTCTGGACGGGGATGAGAATGAGGGAGATTCTTTGCAAAAGGCATGTTGGCATGCAGAGGTTATTGCTGGAAAGCAAAGCTGTGATTCTTTACGGAAGCTGACTGCTACACCTTTGGGTTCTAACTTCCCACCTTCAGGTTATCAGTATAGTATATTTGATGTGAGTTAGAAGTAGATGCTGTAGAATCTTTCATATTATCTGTTGTTGTGTACTGTCTGTCTAGTCGGAACCGATCCAAAGCTGACCCTCCTGGGGGTTTTCAGAGGAGTTAATCTCAAGGGAAGAGGTTACCCATCCTCCCGTGGAGGGCCGGTGGCAGTGAACCACCACTTTCCGGATTGCAGAGCAGCTTCTTGCCATATTCTGAGACATTGTTTTGAAAAAAAACAAGCTGTGTGTATAGATTTCATAAAATAAGCCTGAATACTTTCTCTAAATATTAATAGTAGGAATTAACATTGATTTATTTCTTTTTTGCATCACTTGAGCTGGTATCTTGAGAAGGGAAGGTGAATGGGAATGTTTTCTACATAGTGCTTTTTTCTTTTCCTAATTAAAATGATCTTGAGATGAATGGTTGGTTTCAATGAGTGTGTATGTTCTTAGTCTGTTGATGTTGCCAGCTACCGTAGAAGTGGCTCCTGACAGATGGACACTCTGAACACAGTGGAATCAGATCGTGGTGATCCGTAACAATTTCACTGACTGATTTTGGAAAAATGTCAGCTCTGATGAAACCTGTAAAACATCAAAGTCTCCCACAAGCCTCCACGGATGGACAATGGCTGTGCGTGAGGTCAGGAATTGAACCTAGCTCTGGTGGCTTAATGGTAAGAAGTTGTGCTGCCAACCCAAAGGCACATGGTTCAAATCTACTAGCTGCTGTGTGTGAGAAAGATGAGCAATCAACCCCTAGGCAATTTACTGCCGCTGAAAACCTGATGGAGGCTCAGCTATGAGTAGGTCCTGACTCGACCGCACATAACAGCAACAACTCCTGCATAGAAAACAAAAATTTTACTCATTTTAATCTTCCCAAGACTCTGGAAACACACTGGAGGGTGAGCAGTGAGTCAGTTCCTATCTGATGGCACAAACAACAACAACAAGCTAATAAATGAAGCCCTGGTGGCACAATGATTAAGCACTAAATTGCTAACGCACCAGCTATTCGGTGTGGCAATCTGCTCCTGTGAAAAAAAAAAGAAAAGAAAAAAAAAATTAACGAAAAAGGAACACTTTGCCATTGAGTTGAAATCGACTTGTAGCTGACTCTCCAGGGGCTTTTCAAGGCTATCTAACGTGTGTGGGAGGAGATTTCCCACACTTCTGCCTTCTTTAGAGTTTATAACTGTGGAAACCCTAGGGAGTGGATTTTCTTTGTCCTACAGAATCACCTTGAGTTGGAATGGACTCAACAGCAATGGGTAACATGACAAAAAATACAAGGAACTAAGGATGCATCACTGAAAAGTGAGCAGAACAGAGTCAAAGCCAATCTTGGAAAAGTTTCTAGGGAAAAAAATAGTGAAATTTCATGTTGAGTTTTCCATAACTGATATGGTTTTCTTTCATATCTACAATTCAAATCTTTCATGATTTTTGTGTTTATCTCTGTAATCTTTGGAACATTCTCTATTGCAGTAGATTCAACTCACTGGAGGAGATTGTCCATCCTTCTCCTGAAATACTTAGCTATTCTAAATAAGTGTGGGAGCTCTGGTGGTCTGGTGGCAAGAAGCTGCGCTGCAATTCTGAAGCACATGGTTCAAATCCCCAAGTTGCTCTAAGAAGTATGGGCAGTCTCCTCCCAAGTGATTACCACCTCTGAAAACCTGCCAGAGAGTCAGCTATGGGTTGGTTCTGACTTGACAGTACACAACAACAAAAATAAGTATCGGGGAGCTCTAGTGCTTTTTTCTGTATACTGCTTTTTTTCTTTCAGAATGATGGGCACACAGTTCAAATCCATCAGGTGCTCTGCAAGGGAAGGATAGACGTTCTTTTTCTGTATGGTTAATACAAAAAATAGATGTTGATTTATTTCACACTCAAGGCCATGTTTTTCTAGTAGATAAGCTTAGGCTGACCTCGGTGGCCTTGGTAGCAGAGAACTGCACTCAGTACATGCCTCTGAAAACCTACCAAAGGATCAGCTATGTGTTGGTTCTGAGTCAATGGCACAAAAGAGTAACAACAAACAAGTATTTGCCTTAGAAGAATTATTCTCATCTGGTGCAGACATAAAACAGAAATCAGAAATTTCCATGTAAAGTATTGAAGTTCTTGTTTGTATGTTAAATTTCTTTAAGTTATCTGTATGGATTATCATAAACCTAGCCACACAAATGTGTCACGTAAGTGCCACATAAAGGATAATGACTACTATTGTGACTATCAGTAAGCAGCAGCTCAACAGAGTTTTCCCTCTTGCCAACATCAGGTCAGAACCAGATCACAGCTGACTGGCTGGGCAGCAGGTTTTTGAGGCTGTGAATCACAAAGTGCTGGTTCTTGGGCTGGAGGCCAAAATAATAGTGAAGCCACCCCAAAGAGCTAGGATAATCTTTCTCCAACAAAGCTGTTAGGTGTCTTGATTAGTGTCATTGATGTTAAAGCGTGACAAGTAATACTATATTAAAATCCCCATTCACTCTTCAATTTTAAGAAGCTGTGGTTCTTGAGATACAGTATATATTATGTCTTCTTACATCTTGCTTTATCAAATAATTATAGAGAGTATGTTTCAGGAGGAGAAATGCAACATTAGAAGACTCTGTTGCAGGAATCTTATCTAAACAATAATCTTGGGATGGATGGGTTCCTGGCAATGTTTCTGCTTTTCTTCTGTTCAGGTTCTCTTTCTACATTTCACAATTCAGGATTCCTCCTTTGCCTTATGACTAAGACCTTTAAATAGAGATGAGAATTAAGGGAGGGAAAACATATGATGATTATTTTGCACACTTTTATGCAAGAACACCCAGATTGC